TGAAAAATGTTTGGTTGTAAACATTGGGACTGACCGTAAACTACTTTGACTGGTGTAAGTGGTTTGAAACATGTAACCAATCTTGGTAAATATTAGGGAATTTTTAGAAAATATTTTTTAGAAAAAGATTGTTGTCAGCCAACAAATAGCTGGAGTCGGTCATTGTCATGATTTGAAAAATGAAAATGAGCATATTTTGCATCACATGTTTTCACGAGAGTAAGACCATAATCTGTTCCATGTGCTAACCCAATACCTGTAAAAATAAACAAGTGTTGTAACTTTTGATTTTGTTGAGTTGCGTTAGGGAATGGCTAAAAACCTTGTTTTACTTGTTATATATCTTTGTGGGGTTAATGTCAAGTTATCTCAAGGCCCGACAGGTACACCTTCGATTGTAGGACATAATGAGGTTAATTGGATTGAATATGTTCGTTTGTTTTGTTCATTGCATTAATGTTTGAAAAAAAAATATATCTTTATGTACATATGTTATTTTCTTTAGTTCTTCTTTTATTGCATGCACGCATTCTTAATTCCATTTAGTCCTTTTCGTTCCTTCCATTCTTTTCATCTTAGTTTCTTTTTAGTCGCCTATCGTCTTCTCTAGGTTGATTCTCAATTTTGTTCTTTCTTGAGGACAAGAAAGGTTTAAGCTTGGGGAGGTTTGATAGGTGCATTTTATGCACCTATTTTGCATGTTTATTTCCATCTATTTATAGCATTCTACTTTATAATTCTTGCATTTAGTTGATTATTAGGGTAATTGCATATTTCATTAAGAATGCCTGGTACTTCACTATTTCTGATTTATTTTGTAGGCATTATGGAGCATGGAACGTGGAGCTTGGATGCATGGATGCTTATATGTTTGGAGCGTAGAGCTTTGGAACATGAAGAAAAGATGAACCGGTCATTCCATGGCAGGAAACATGAAGATGGAGCCAACTGTGAAGACTCTTTGGAATTTTAGCAAAAAGCATGGGCCATGCCGAAAAAACACATGGTCAAGACAAATGGCCATGCCAAAAAACACATGGGCAAAAGGCATGGCCATGCTAAAAACGCATGGCCTTGTGGCAAGTCACGTGAACTTTAATAAAAGAGGAGGAGACGTCATTTTGAAGGACAAAACGGTTTTGGGAGTAGTTTCTGGCGATCTAGGCCAATTTTGGGAGAATTCTTGGAGCTTTTGAGAAGACTTAATCATTGCAAACATTTGGACTTCATTTTTGTAAGGATTAAACATTCCAATTCCATCTCATTCTTGTTTGATTTGTTCTTAGCCATGTGTGGCTAAGAAACCCTAGTTCTAGTTCTTGTTCAAAAAATGTTGATTGCTTGACTTGAAGCATATGATTTGATGTTTGATTTGTGATTCTATTCCAGTGATTATGTTTTTGTTTAAACTAGAATCCTTGAATTTGATTTGTGTTTGATTGGCCACTTTCATGAATTGAATTTTTATGCAGTTAATTAACTTTTAGGGCACTTAATCGTTCTATTGAGTTAATAATTGGTAACAAGCAATAAGTTTTCTTATTGTAAAACATATATCACATGTTTTCACACTTCCGAGCGTATGAGAAGAAATGAACATTGTTGGGAAGCTTGTACAAAACTTAATGCAGTTTTTCAATACAATCTAAGAGCGTGTTTAGGTTGAATTAGTAAAGCTAGGTCTAATCAAAGAGCGTGTTTTGGTTAGATAATTTGGCAAGCGTGAGTTATTAGAGCGTGTTAATATCTTTCAGTACCAACATAGAATAGCAATCTTGAATTAGATCAAGTCATAATCAAGTTGAACAACAACATTGAGAACTAGAACTAGAACCATTCAATCAATTTGTTTACAAATCTATTTCATTTTGTGCATGCTTTTAAAGTAGATTGTTATTTAGTTATTTACTTTTGCAAACAAACCCCCTCTTTGTGACCAAAGTACCTTGTGCAAAAAGGTATAGACTTTTGTCTCGTGTCTCGGTGGTTCGACCCTGCTTGCCTTGTACAACTTTTTAGTGCATTAAAGCAGTGTATTTGGAGTCTATTGTACCCATTTTATTTGTTGGGTCTGACACGCCTAACAATTGTTCATCAAATTCATATAAAATTTTGAATACATATTTGACATTTTAAAAAACGATAACATATTTTACAAAAAACTAATAATTAAAATATATATTACAAACACGATAACATATGCTATTAAACATGTAGCTAACTTATATATTACAATAATAATCTAATAAAAACCAACAAGTGACAATACTATTATTTATTTATTTAAAATTTATTTAAAAATGTGTATGTGTAATATTTTTATAAATGCATGTATAATATTTATTTATAAGTTTATTATAAATATAATCTTTTGTATTTAATATTAATGTAATGAAAAAATATAGATTATATATTTATTAAAACTAAATTAGTAGAGGGGTGTGTTTGATAATCTATATAAGTTGAAATAATAGAATATACTAGGAATATATTTTTTGGGGATACAAATAGGGTAAAAATTGAATTGAATTGTAGGTAAAACACTATTTACTCTATTTTTTACTTCATTTTTTAAGGAAAAAATGAAGATGTATTAGAGATGATCTAATATCGGAAAATAAGCTATTTTTTCAAATATGTCATGCCCTCAACGTTTTGACCGAGAGGCAATATAATAATTTTTTCCTCAATATTATCCAAAGTTAAAATTAAAGAATGATTTAAACTTTAAATGTGTCATGAATTATAACTTTGTATATTTCATTTTCGATATTATTGTTTTAACTTATTAATCTACTTATTATTTTTTTTTTCTCTTTTATCAAAAGAATTTATTTAGAATCAAGAAAGATTTATATAAACTCACAAGGGATTGAATCATTGAATGGACGAATATATCCGGCTCAAATAAAAGACCCAAAGTCGAAGTTATGTGTATGTGATTGGTGGATTGGGTATTTGTTTCACAGTTCAAGGGGCCACGGCCTAGGGGATACGCTTAGGGTTTGATGTTACGCCTAAATTTGATCCATCTCCACCTTAGGGTTCCGGTACACCGTAGAGGCGGAGGAGAAGCCGACAAATCAGGGGACGATTGCTTTACATAATAACGGTAATCGTGAAAACCCAATCTTCCGAGTCTACTAATTTCATTACTGATTTCTGATACTGATCACGATCCCGATTCGAGGACAATGGTTTTGTTAAGTTTTTTTTCTAGGGTTTGTTTTCTGTGTTTTTTTTTTTTTTTTTTTTTTTTTTTTTTAATAAGTTTCAATGGTTCATCGAAACTAAGTTTATTTATTTTGCATCAAATTTAGGCGTAAAAAAGTTTGAAATTGATAAAAAAAAATACTTTTTTTTTTCCATCACTGCTGATAATCGTAATTGGAGGGAGCTGTTGACTATTGGATAACATGCCTTTACAAAGTTGTTTCATTTTCATCTTAGTTTGGCTTTGTTTGAAGGGGGACAAGAAAAGTCGAATATTAATGTAAAATTTGTGCGTGGGTTGATTTTACCAAGGTTCTATGTGCGTGATTCATGGATCTGTTGTATGCTGCACATTAGCTTTCTTACATAAAGAATTATGTAATATTTATTTTGTCCGTTTATAACAACTTAAGTATGAATACAACAGTTTATGTACATGTATACATGCATACCATAAGCATAAGCATAAGCATATGTAGTCTGCATCAATAATTAACAGTGATTGGGTAATTTTAACTGGGATCTGGTGAATGAATTATCCATATGTGTATCACAAGGCAGTTGAATTGGTTTTGGGCTTTGGTTTTTGAACTCTTATTCAGGCTTCAAAAGTCAACCAACCGCAGATGGATGGGGAAAAGAAGAATGGATCAGGTTTGTATGCAACTGGCAATTGCTACTTTCTGTTGCAAGAGCTTCCTGTAAATATATATGTTCAATTAGAATTATAGATACTCACTTAGCACTTATCCATCCTTTAATGTAAAAGATATACAAAGAAGAAGTTGATTTAAAATGTTGAAGTTGTGATTAGTTAATTATGTAAGTCTCTAATTACTTATACGTACGCCAGTAATGCCTTCTTCTATGGAGAATGGAACAGCCAAAACTCTAGATCGGTCATCAAGGTGTAGGGTTTTGACTTTTGACATCTGGCTTTCTCTTTGGATGCTTTATACTGGTCAACTTATTGTTACGTAGAACACTCTCTACAAAAATTATTATAACTAAAAAATATCCATATATATAAATGCAAAATATCGATTGGAAATCTTGAAAGAGTTAAGGTGTAAATCCTTTGGTTGGAAGATTAAGGTTTTATTAGGATGAGTATGATTACATTTTATTCCAAGATTAGAATATGGTGTGGAAAAAAAATAAACCATTATACTGAATTTAAATTTTTTAATTCAGGTAGCGAGACACAAGAAATGGATCATGATCAAGGACACCTTGACTCCAGGTTACTAGATATTTTTATTATTTTTGAATGACATAATTTCTACTTTATAAAAAAATTGTGGAAGAATTGCGTATATGTCAGTGTTAAACATCAATATCATAGTATTTACTTTTCATAAACATCAAAATATTGTATTTTAAAAAAGAAAATAAAAAATTTATGATCTTTTTAAATCCTTATATTAGTATTAATTTTCTATTAAACAATCTTGATAAATTTGCAATTTAACTTCAACCGTCCGTCTAAAAGAAAGTATTGGAACAAGGGTGGTTCTATTCCAATATTTTGCTAGGGTTTTGTGTGTGAGTGAGAGAATTGATTTGTAAAGGGGGTTTAGAACTGAATATGTTAATGAATCAGAGAAAATTTTGAGAAGGAATTGATTTGTTATAAACTATCTTTTTTTTTTTTTTTTTTTTTTTTGCACTTGAGCTTTTTATGGTTGTATATACAAAGTAAAGTACATTTGTTTATATTTTTCAGCGTAGATAGTTTGGGTTTGTTGGCCAACAATATAAATAAAATTCTGAATGATATTGAGTCCATGTCAAACACACTCAAAGGTCTGGACACTAGTGCACACACTATTGAAGAGCATTTCAAAAGATATCGTCTACTGCCAGAGCCAGAGCCAGAGCCAGAGCCAAAGCCAAAGCCAAAGCCAGAGCCAGAAGTTGAAATAGGCCCAAAGGATTTTCTACCATCTTTCCCTGAGAAGTTTGATGGTCTACAAGGTTTTTGTAAATGGATAGAGAGAGTAGAAAGCAATTTCCGGAGTTTTCCGTTGTCAGAGTATGACAAAGCTGAACTTGTATTCAACACATTGCCACAGGAAGGAGAGGTTTTCAGATGGTGGCAAGGTATCCAAAATTTAAGCATGCAAGTCGATAATCGCAAGTTTACTTGGGATGAGATGAAGTTGCTGTTTATGGCTGAATTTGTTTCTACAGAATGTTTGGTACCCAACAAGAAATCCAAAACATCCTTGTAATGCTTTCAAATTTACCATGGAAATGGAATTGCATGTGTATTTGGAATTTAAGGAAACGTAAAATGCTATCGGATCTTTGATTGAAATTATTTGGATTCATCTACTCTTTATATGTATCTGGTAAATTACAAACATATATATCCTTTCACATCATGGATGTCGATGAACCATATTTATGTGTTGCTTGTAGTTGTCCTTTATTATTATCATATGCCCCAAAAACCTATTAACATGTGATAAGTCGAAAAATTCTGTGAATTCAACATGTTACTTATTTTTATGATATATATTTTGTAGAACATAACGTCTTAATAAGGTAAAAAGTACTATAATGACAAAAAAAAAAAAAAAAATAGTAGCCATAGTGATGGTATTTTTGTAGCTGCTTATCTTGTAGTATAATTTTGTTCTTATAGTAAATTTAAGTAAGAAGAAAAAATGCTGGTAGTTAAAAAGTTTTGACAAAATTGCAAAAATAATTCCTATGGTTTGTTAGTTTCTTTATGTAAGGTTAAAAAAAAAATTATTAGTAAAAAAATCCTTATTTGGTGGTTTTGTTCCCTATGTCTTTAAATTTAACAGTTTGACGATTAACTTACTGAAAATGATAGATTTACACCTAGGAACCATTTCGATAATTTATCTTTTTACCAAATTATAATGACCATTTCCATTTTTCATTTTATTGCATTATAATACATTGACTCTTTTAATTATTATTATTATTTTTTTTAAATTTATTTCCTATTGTATTATTTTTTATTGGATTATTATATATCAATAACCATTATTTTTAATATATTATATTTATATATTAATAAATATTTTTTAAATATTATATTAATTTTTTTTAACTCTTCTTTATTGGATTAATTCTTTTGTATTGGATTATTATATATTAATAAATATAATTTTTGTTATATTATATTTATATATTAATAAATACTATTTTATTATATTATTAATTTTTAATTTTTTTAAAAATTATTCTTTATTTGATTGATTTTTTTTATTCGATTATTATACATTAATAAATATTATTTTTAACATATAATATTTATCTATTAATAAATTTTTTTATTGGATTAACAGTTTCTTTTAATTAATTAATTAATTTTTTTATTACGTTAATTCTTTTTATTGGGTTATTACTTTTAATTTATCATATATATATATATATATATATATATATATATATATATATATATATATATATAATAATAATAATAATAATAATAATAATAATAAATATCATTTTATTGGGTTTATAATTTAAACTGTATAATACTAATTCTTTTTAATTTTATTGGTTCCACCACAAAGTCGTCAGAATACGCAAAAATGCCGCCTCCCAGTGTTGAAAATCGACGGGACAACTGCCAATCACCTTCATCGATCGTTTGACGGAAACCCTACCAACTTCTTACACCCAATCTCGTCAATAGTACCTATGATAACCTCTTCACAATCTATCGAAATCCTCCAAATCTGCCACTAAGCCAAACATATTCTGTTACAACCGCCAAGAGGTCTGATCTAAACAGTCTTGGTCAGCTCCTCCATTTGTTGCTTCTACCACCTTGTTTCATCGTATCATCTCATTGGAAATCTTCGATCATCGGCTGCAGTCGTCCATTCTCGACGAAAACTACACCAATCGACTACCCACACAAAGCGCAACAAACCCCAGAAAACATACAACCTCTATTCGACAATTTGTTACCGACACCGCCATTGATGGCGACAACGTTAGATTGAGTGTTTTCAAACCACCATAGCCAATAAATATGGTGGCAGGTCAGTAGAACACGTTATTTGGCACTCGTTCGACCAACCGCCGAGTAGCGAGTACTCGAGAGCACTCGAATTTGGTAATTAAAGGAAAAATATTTTTAGAGAAATTATATATGTCAAAATCATTAGTTAAAATCATATTTTATTGAAATATATAAAAAATTTAGATACATGTGAATACACAAAAACTAAAACACACACGATGATCTCACTTCATGATTAATAACTGAAAATCTAAGATACACACACACACACACACATATATATATATATATACATATATATATACATATATATATATATATATATATATATATATATATATATATATATATGTAGGTTTAAGTTCTATGGAAAACAAAAAACTCTAAAAAAAACCTCTAAAAATCATGAAAATGCATAAAAAAAAATACTTAGAGATCACAAATCTTTTTTTTTTTTAATTTTATATTATAAAAATTAGCAACTTTATATATATATATATATATATATATATATATATATATATGTATGTATGTATGTATGTATGTATGTGTGTGTGTGTGTGTGTATATATATATATATATATATATATATATATATATATATATATATATATATATATATATATATATATATAGGTTTAAGTTCTATGGAAAACAAAAAAACTCTAAAAAAAAACCCTAAAAATCATGAAAATGCATAAAAAAAATACTTAGAGATCACAAATCTTTTTTTTTTTTTAATTTTATATTATAAAAATTCGCAACTTTATATATATATATACACACACACACACACACACACACACACACATCGAAGATGGCTTGATAGTGGTGGTGGTGGAGGTGATATCCAAAATATGTTATCTTCCGAATAGTTAAAATAAATTAGGAGAGTTGGAATGCATGAGATTTTTTGGTAATTTTATTTAAAATAATAAATAAATCAATTAAAAAATTAAAACAATTAAAAAATTATAGGTTTTATAAATAAAATTATGGTCTTTGAAAATAGACTATTTTTTCAAATACATCATGCCCTCAACCTTTTGGCCTAGGGTCAACCCTTGTCAATATGATAACTTTTTCCTCAATATTATCTAAAATTAAAATTAGAGAATAATTTAAACTTTCAATGATAAAGTTGTTGATATTATATTAAGATAGTGTTTGTTTTTTGTCTGTAGATCTGCGTGAGCTCTTCTGTCTGCGCTGCACAGACATTAACCTTCGTAGATTGTTTGTTTTTTTGAAAACTGCAGACCTAAAAATCTTCGCGCCCTATTCTTGACGCAAATGTGGAACAAAGTCTTCTAACATCTTCAGACATATCATAGCTTAAAAAAACATATATATTTTTATTTTTATTTTTTAAGATTTTTTTTAATTTATATTTTTCCAACTTTATTAATGATAAACAATTTGAAAAAAATACAAAACTTAAAAAAACATTGGATGATACAAACATGATATTTTTGACAAATTTATAAATAAAGATTTATTATAATAATTGTTGTTTAAGTTGTTTATATAAATATGAAAAAAATCATAATGTATTCTTATTTTTTTTGCCAAATTTTGTAAAACATTATTTAATACAGTTTCGTCAATTTCTCGAGAAAATATTTATGGTACTTTTTTAATGGATTTTATTGAAAAAATCGAAGTTATTTCTATCAATTTATGTATCAAATTCTTTGATCACTAATTATAATATTTAGTTATAACTTTGCAACCAAAGTTGTTGGTTTTTATCAAATATATACGTTAATTTATATTATTGTTATTTTTATTTTTTATACAATAATACATAAAAACTGATTTAGATTCGTTAATTATTTATAACAAATTCATAAAAATATTTAAAAAAATCAATTTGAAATTTAAAAAAAATTAGTTTATTTAGATTTCAATTTATCTTAGTAGCTCGCAGATGTTAAAAAAACAAACAGCCGTCGTTTTTCAGACTGTAGATGTTTGGTCCACCTCTTCTACTGCAAATATCTAGAGATGTGGTCCGCAAACTGCAGATATTTTATGTCAGAAAAAACAAACAACACCTAAATATTGTATATAAATAAGTTTTTGAAGATTCGTGAATTATAACTTTTTATGTTTAATTTTCGTTGTTTTAACTTATTAATCTACTTATTATTACTTTTTTTTTTTATCAAAGAATTTATTTAGAATATAAACTCAGAATGGATTGAAATCATTGTTTTTTTTTTTTTTTTTTTTTTTTATCAAAGAATTTATTTAGATTTTAGAACATAAACTCACAATGGATTGAAATCATTGAATTGACCGATAATATAGCCGTCTCAAATAAAAAACCCACAGTCGAACTTATGTGATTGGTGGATTGGGTATTTGTTTCCCAGTTCAATTGGCCACGGCCCAGGTGATAAGTTTAGGGTTTGATGTTACGCAAATTGATCCATCTCCACCTTAGGGTTCCGGTACACCGTAGAGGGCGGAGGAGAAGCCGGCAAATCACGGGACGATTTCTTCACGTAATAACGGTAATCGTGAAAACCCAATCTTCCGAGTCTACTAATTTCATTACTGTGGGATTTCTGATACTGATCCCGATCCCAATTCGATGACGATGGTTTTGTTTAGTTATTTTCTAGGGTTTGTTTTCTGTTTTTCTTTTTCTTTCTGATAAGTTTCAATGGTTCATAGACTCTGAAGAAACTAAGTTTATTTATTTTGCGGCGTAAAAAAGTTTTAAATTGATCGATTTTTTCCCCCTGATAATCGTAATTGGTGGGAGCTGTTGACTATTGGATAACATGCCTTTACAAAGTTGATTCATTTTCATCTTAGTTTGGCTTTGTTTGAAGGGGGACAAGAAACGTCAAATATTAATGTAAAATTTGTTTTACCATGGTTTTATGTGCGTGATTCATGGATCTGCTGTATGTTTGTAATTGTTTAACTCTCTTGATTTGTTTTATTTAGCTCATTTTGTACCTTTGACTTTTGTACATGTTTGCTCCTATAATCAATGTAGGAACACATTAGTTTTCTTACATAAAGAATCATGTAATATGTATTTTGTCGGTTTATAACAACTTAAGTACGAATACAACAGTTTATGCACATGAATACATGCATACAATAAGCATAAGCATATGTAGTCTGCATCAATAATTAACAATGATTGGGTAATTTTAAGTCGGATTTGGTGAATTAATTATGCATATATGTATATCACAAGGCAGTTGTATTGGTTTTGGGCTTTAGAATATGGTGTGGAAAAAAAAATAATAAACCTTTATACTGAATCATTAAATTTTTTGATTCAGGGAACGAGACACAAGACATGGATGAAGATCAAGGACACCTTGAGTCGAGGTTACTAGATATTTTTATTATTATTGAATGACATAATTTTAAAAATATGGACATTAGAGAATAATAAGTTTGCATTTAATATTTGTTATCAAGTGTATCTTTTTTAATTTGAATTTAATTGAATATATTTTTCAGTGTAGATAATTTTTCTTTGAATACGTTGGCCAACGAAATAAATAGGTGTATTGGGCCCATGGTAAACAAGCTTGAAGATCTGGGCACTCGCTTAAAACATATCGAGGCGGAGTTGAATAAATATGCACCAACACAAGATAATGTGGTTGAGATTCCTGCAGAGGATAAGCCATCTCCTTACGACCCAAACATATGTCTACCAACATTCCCTGACAAGTTTAATCTTGATGTCTTTTGCAATTGGGTTAAGGAGATAGAATTCTATTTGGAGTATTATTGTGTTGCACGGCCAGTACAAGTAGAACTTGTAGTCAGCACATTGCCACAGGAAGGAGAGGCTTTCAAATGGTGGCAAGATATTCAAAAGCTAAACGAGAAAGTCTATAAAAATGATCCCATTACGTGGCCAGAGATGAAGATGCTGTTTATGGATAAATTCATTTCTCCATAGATTGTTTGATAGCCAACCAAAAATCCAAAATTAGAATTTATTGCATGTATTGGAATTTAAGGAAGTATCGGATGTTTGCTTGAAAATAGTTGGATTAATCAGCTACTAGGAATATTTTTATTCTTTTAGAAGATTTAAACAAAAAAGGTTATTTCCATAAACACCCTATATTTTGATATATTTTTTTTCTTTTTAGACCTAAATCTTTTTTTCTTTTCCGAAAAAAACCCAACTTTTACCTATTACTAATTATTTTAGACCCTAGCAGGTTACCGAAAGGTAATTAAGTATTTTCATTTAATAATAACCCTTAACTTTGTACATTTTTCCAGTTTAGACCTAAAATGTTTTTTTTTTTTTTTTTTTTTTTTCAAAATAAACTCAACTTTAAAATTGATTACAACCTTTAACATTAGTTGTATAAAGTACTTAACTACACCGATTTAATGAAACTTAACTTCGTTCATGCATAAAAACGTGATTATATCCTTTCAAATTAAAAGGTAATTATTATGATTATCCTTATGAATCAATAACAGTGATATACAAACACTATGTATTGATCTAAACACAATGTATACATAAGATAGATTAATAAAATGAGGTAGTAGGTCAACTATTAAATTTTCTTTTCTCTACAGTAAAATTCATAGTTTTGTTCGTTTTGCTCATTCACCACATTCCAACTATTGGTAATAATGTCAACCATTGTATTTTGATATTTAAGATAGATTAATAAAATGATAAGATAGATTAATAAAATGAGGTAGTAGGTCAACTATTAAATTTTCTTTTCTCTACAGCAAAAATCATAGTTTTGTTCGTTTTTCTCATTCACCACATTCCAACTATTGGTAATAAACTAATAATTCCAACTATTGGTAATAATGAATTTTAGAATGTCAACCACATTCCAAAATTCATTGTATTTTGATATTCCAACTATTGGTAATAATGTCAACCATTGTATCATTCTTTATATTTGGAATTTCAACTTTTGCTCAAATGGTTTCATTTCTAAAATATAGATTTATGTATTCATATGTGATGTTAACATTTTTTTAAGGAAGTCTTAAACTTGAATCTCATATATCTAAACAAAACTAATATGGATGTTTATGATTAATATGTTTTTGTATTTATTTGATATAATTATAACATATTATTTAATAATGGGCTAGTGCTACAAAATGTTTTATGGCTTTGGTTTAGGAGTATGATAATGAATGCGTTTGTTCACTGTTCTAAAAAAATTAATTAAAAAATTCGGGCAAAAAAATAATATAGAAAAGTGAGAGAGGGAAATATGTCCAAACTCACCAAATAAGTATAATGGAGAAACTAAAAAAAAATATTTTGTATACAGTTTGTTAAATGATATGGTATTTTTTTTTTCTACAAATAAAAAAAATTATACTTATACTAAAAGATTCTTCTTAACCATGTATTATCCATGTTACCAAAAAATATCAAATTAACATCAATCTTTTTATTAGCAGTAATAATAACATTTTCTATAAACAAAATATCAAGTTTAATGATATAATATATATATATATATATATATATATATATATATATATCCAATATAAAATTTAATTATATCTTTTAGACAAGAATAAAATTTTGCATTTCTTTTAGGTTATATTCGCTCAAAATATAATAAATTAGATAACATTTTTTTGTGTATATATGTATACTTTCTTTTTCGGTGTAGTCAATTTTAAAGTTGAGTTTATTTTGAAGAAAAAAAAAACCATTTTAGGTCTAAAATGGAAACAACTACAAAATATAACAAGTAACACATAAAAGTTGATTTTTTTTCGGAAAAGAAAAAAAATTAGGTCTAAAAAGAAAAAAAGTCAAAATATAGGGACTTGTATGGAAATAACCAAAAAAAAAAACCAAACAAGTACACTTTTGATCACAGAAATTGAAGTTAGGAATATCATAGTAGAGAAGTATCCTGGGACTGAAAAGATTTTACGATTATCCGTTGGGATAATGATTATATTTTTCGATTTGTACATATTTTATTACTGAATTTTTTTCATCCACATTTACCCCTTCAACTTGTTAAATTGTATACATTCAATCCTTATGACTGACTACTTCAGGTTACCCGGTAAAAATAACTTAATAGGGTAATATATTTTTCATTTTATACACGTTTAGTCCTTAATCTAACTCGTTTAAGGTAGAATAAGATTTAAGTTGATTTAGTTGACCCAAGTTTGACTTTGGTTGACTAGTATATATATATATATATATATATATATATATATATATATATATATATATGAATTCTGAATACCGAAAATCTAAAATTATGGTGAAGTAATTTGAAATGAGATTATCATAAAATCATAAAGTTATATATTACCATTGGAATTTGTACCGAGATAATTGATATATTTCATGATTGATCGATATGGGTGTGAATAGACGGTTTGGTTCATTTCTTGGATAAAATCTAAGCATAACCATTGCTATTGGTTAATGCATTTTGGTATGTGTTGGTAATGGTCATGGTTAATGGTATTTTTTTGGGGTAATTACTAATATAGCCGAATTAAGGAAGTAATTAATAATTTTTAGCCAAAAATTAGGAATTGTCTCAAAATATCCCACGAAACTGTAGGTATTTAGATTCGGTTACTATTTTACCAAATCGTCTACTGTTTTCATGTTTAGTATAAAAAAAATTCATTTTGAAGGTATAAAAAATATACAGTTTTCTCTCCATAAAATACGGTTTCCCAAACCGTAGCCTACGGTTTTGGGTTAAATCTACAGGTTTTTTTTGTTTTTTTTAAAGACTACGGTTTTGGGTTAAAGTATACGGTGCACAAGCATTTCATGCACAAAATGCACATTAACTGATTGTACACCGTATTTTTTTTCCAAAAAAATCACTGAATCAACAATATATACAAGTGTTTACTGGTTATAACAAATTGTGCATTAAATCGTTGTACAGTGTAGGTTTCCAAAAAACTTATGATTTCGATAATTTTTTTTTAAAAGCTTTTAAAAAAAATCAAGAAATCATTATATATATATATATATATATATATATATATATATATATATATATATATATATATATATATATATATATATATATATATATATATATATATATATAGGGAATGGTTATTTGGAAAACAAAAAAAAAACCCTAAAAATCATAAAAATGTATAAAAAAATACTTAGAGATCACAAAACTTTTTTTTGACATTTTTTATGCAAAAAGTGCAGGTTTTTAAATAAATTCGCTGAAATTTTTTTTTGAAAAAAAGAATTTATTAAAAAAAACTGATTTTTTTTTCAGCAAAATTTTAATAAAAAGTTGCGATGTCTTATAAAAAAAAATTCAAAAAAAAGTTTTGTGATCTCTAAGTATTTTTTTTTTATGTATTTTTATGATTTTTAGGGTTTTTTTGTTTTCCATAAAATCTATATATATATATATATATTCTTCTTCAGGTTACAACAAATAAAACATATAGTTTTTTTTTTATAATTAGTTTCTAGAGACAATTAATTGATAACCAAATAAAACATATAGTTTTTTTTTTATATAATTAGTTTCTAGAAGTGATTAGTGATTAATTGATAACCAATGTTTGTAAGATTTTCAAATCTTATAATAATAAAATAAAACATATAACTTTTGTATTTGAATACCACCTCTACAAAATTGTGTACAAATTGTGTGTGATTAATAATAACCAAATTAATCAATAGTTAAGATTAATGCGTGATTTGACAAATTGCATGTGTGTATCTGTGTGCCACCTTCAATTGTTTAATTCCTCAATCATATCTATTGATAAGTAAGCATTAATTATTTTATACACATTGAATTATATTATTTTTAATACATATATACTTTTTATATATTTAAATATTGAGTTGTATCAGATAATAGTTATTCCTCTTATTATTACCGGATAAGGGATAATGACTTAAAAGGTAATGTATTTTTCGATTTGTACACATTTGGTCAATGAGTTTTTTTTCCGTCCACATTTACCCTTTCAACTTGTTAAACTGTACACATTCAGTCATTATGACCGGGTGCTCCAAGTTAGCCGGGAAAAATAACTTAATAGGGTAATATATTTTTCATTTTGTACACATTTAATCCTTAATATTTTTGTATATATTTAGTCCTTAACATTTTTTTTTGTTTCAAAATAAGATCTTTTTTGTACTCATTGAGTACTTATGAATGATTTCTTTAGGTTTTTCTAACGACATCTTACGTGAGACAATCATTGATAAAGTGTTTGGGGGGGTTGATGTTTATGTCCAACGTAATCTCGAATGCTTGGTTGCGTAGGTCTTGTGGTTTGGCTCAGGTCTTGTATTTTGAACATCGTAACTTCTTCATACGATATCAGATTTTAATGATCTTTATATCCACGTGTTCATTTTTTGAGTCTACTAGAACTTTTATTAAGATTACTCCCGTTAAAATGTAATATAATTTTACTTATGATTTTATAAAAAAAATATTCATATATGCATTCATAAAAAACGTATGGACAGGGGCAGACGCAGAAATACATAGTAGGTGTTGCCGATACATGAAAAATAGGTATAAACAAAAAAAAATCGAAAATTTTTCTACTGCATACAGAAAAAACAGGTTGTCGGTGCAACATCAGGACAATGCTAAAGCCGCCCCACGTATGGATATAAAAATCATAAGTAAAAATATATTATTTTTAATGATAGTAATCTAAATGAAATTTGTAGTAGACTAAAATACAAACACTTGGATATAAAAATCGTTAAAATCCGAGATCGTATGAAAAAGTTATGACGTTCAGAAAACATGATCTAAGCAACCAAGTCGTCGAGATCATGATGGATATAAACATCAAAAACCTCATACACCTCATTAATTAATGTTTCACGTAAGATTTCGTGATAAAAACATAAAGAAATCATTTATAAGTACAAAAAATGACTTATTTTGCACAAAAAAATAATAATAATAAAGACTAAATGTGTACAAAAATATTTACACCTTGTATTCAAGGTGTTATATGTTTATGAGGTGAAAACAAGCAGCCCGAAAACCATTATTTCTTTCCTTTCAGACAGCAGCCTCGTAGCCGTGATCGCAACCGAGAACAAGCTCAGGTTTCGGCCGTGAACGAGGGTCTCAAACCCTCGGACCGTGAATGCTTTCTCGACCATAATCGCCTTCGGACAGCAAACGAGGTTCAAGGCCGTAAACCCCTTCGGACCGTGAACCCTCGCATATATATAGATTTCAACCAACTTTTACTTTATTTCTACACTTTCAAACACAATTCCAACCTTTTTCTCTCAAGTATCATCAACCAAGAACAACCTCTCTCCTCAATAACATGCTAAATTCATCCTTTCTCATCATATTCAAGTGATAATCACTAGTTCTTCATAAGATCTAACAGGTACCATTTCTTGATCTTATTATCACTTCAAGAACATCCTTCAATCTTCTTATACTAGGCTGAAACCCATTAATTTCACTAGTTTTCACGAAGACACGCGAAGAACACCCATCCGAAAAACCTTTGAATATTCTTAAAAACTTGATTAGAATCTTCTGGTGTTCTTCATTCATCAAGAACACCCACTGGGTCGTGAACCCTTCGTGGGCCGTGAACACCTCATGGACCGTGAACACCTAAATGGGCCTAGATCCTACCTTTTCAAAAGCCCTAATACTTATATAGACCGATATTTGGGCCACAACCCAAGACTAGGAGTCGATTCGGAACAGGGTGTACACCATCGTAGCGCCATCGGGAACCCGAAATAACTTCAACGATGCCAACCGCCAAGTCGGTGGCTGAAGGATGGTCTTTCACGTCTCTTACGTGTGCGACGTGTTGCTGGGCAGTGAATTAAGAAACAAACCACCGCTACCACCGTGAGGTGGTGGCTGTCATCGTCGCCTTCCCGTTTCTGTCGCCGCCGTATGCCGCTAGGTTGATGGCTGGGTCCACCTTGCAATCAGAAGCATGTATGTGTGTGTTTATTTCAGTGGAGAGGTGTGTGGGTGTTTATTTGGCCGGAAAAGCCACTACCACCGCCGTGAGGTGGTGGCTGCCACCATGTGCCACCGTCGGCCACCACAAGGGTTGTTGTGTGTGTTTATCTATTTAGTGTGTGTTTATTTTGTTGGGTTAAAGCATTGTAAAATGTAATTAGAAAGTAGAATAATATAAAGAAACTCAAAACCACCACCGTAGGGTGGTGGCTGCCGCCATCATCCGCCGTGTTGGATGGTAGTGTGCTTTAACTTGTGATTAGTTTGCTTTTGTGATGTTTGGACTTAATCGGACTAGAACCCTAACCACCACCGCGAGGTGGTGGCCACCGTTGTGATCCGCCGCTGACTACCACTACCCGAGGTGGTAGTGGGTGGTGCCCGACTAGCGAAACCCTAATGAGCCTAGTGAAACCCTAATAGGCCTAATGAAACCCTAATGGATCTAAGGATTTAGTTTTTGGGCCTATTGGGTTGGGATTGGGTTGAAAACCCAAATTAGGGTTTAGATAACCCTAATTTTGGATATATGGGCCTTGGACTTATCGGGACCCATGTTTGGGCCATCGGAATGAAATTGTGAATTACACCCAATCACACCATATGATTTATCTAGTAGAGTGATGGACTTAACGGGTTAAGTACTTAATGGGTTAAGTGAGAAACACTTAACCCAAATCATCATTTCATGTGAATACCCTAATTGTGTTGGGTTTAGAGTTGGGAATTTTTGTTGGGCCTAGATGTATGGACTCTGGATGGGCTAACTATTAACAAGTAAATGGACTAGAACACTTAGGTTGAGCTTAAGGATAAGGCCCATTGGAAAGGTTTGGGCCTAATTTGGAAAATTGGGCTATAAATGGGCTATATTTTAGGCATTGATGATTATGAGATATTGGACCATCAGAATGTCAAGTGTTGGACCAAGAATAAATGGTTGGGCCTTAAGGCAATACCATGTAGAGGTTTGGGCCCAATTTTGGAAAATTGGGCCATAGTTGGGCCTTGGTTCATTATTAGACCTTTGGGCCTTCGGATTGGGCCTTGGTCTTGAGTCAAGCTAAGTTAGGGGTAAAGTAGTCTTTTACCCCAAGCATGGATTTATGGAAATGTGTTGAGGACCCAATTATTAATTGGGTGTTATTTTGATGTTGACAGATTCGAGAATCTGTCATCCAACAGCTAGGGTTTTTTCAGCGGGACTTCAGCAGTGTGGGGTGAGTTTTCCTCCAGTAGGAACGAGTCTAAGGAACCAATGCCGACCGTTTATGTATGTTAGCGTATGCCGGACTTCGGTTCGATGCCGAGGGTAGCCCGATGCAGATTATGTGTTCCAGATTTCAGTTCGATGTCGGGGCGGTCTCGAGAAGTGTATATGTATGCTTGATGTCTTTGTGATTCATGCATGTTATGTGTTATGTGTTCCAGGCCTAGGTTCGATGCCGGGGCAAGCTCGATGCATGTTAGCTTATATGTTAATTGTTATGTGTTCTCCGCTTCGGTCCGAAGTCAGGGTAAGCCCGATGTATGTTATATGCTTATGTTATGTGTTTATGATATATGATATGTTGTGTGTATGTCAGGGTAAGCCTGATGTTGGGGCAAGCCTGATGCCGGGCAGGAGTCCAATGTCGGGTAAACCGATGCCGGGTTCGGCCTGATGCAGTTGGGTGGTGTCCCAAAGTTATGTCACATGTTATATGCTTATGTCATGTGTTTATGATATATGATATGATGTGTATGTGCCGGGGCAAGCCCGATGCTAGACGCGGTCTGATGTTGGGGTGAGCCCGATGTCGGGCAAGAGTCCAATGCCGGATAAGCTGATGTCGGGTTCGTCTCGATGCAACTGGGCGGTGTCCCATAGTTGTGTTATCTGTTATATGATATATGTGTATGATATGTGGTAGTTTGGGGGAGCTCACTAAGCTTCATGCTTACAGTTTTCAGTTTGGTTTTAGGTACTTCAGTTAGCAAATGGAAGGGCTCGGGATGATCGCATGACACACACCACAATTTTCTAGCCTGGAAGATTTACTCTGATATTTGATATGAGATTTTCATATGTTGACAGATATTATGATATTTCGAGATACATGGTTATGATTTTATACTATGATGATATTTATGGTTTTAATAACGATTTAAAAGCTAAATTTTTGGATCGTATTTTTGGAATGTTTCATTTAACTTATTAATCTGCTTATTATTATTATTTTTTTGTTTTATCAAAGAATTTATTTAGAATCAAGAAAGATTTATATAAAACTAGGTGAGTGACGCGGGGTTAGATGTGAGATTTTTTGTTCGGTTGATTAATTGGTAATGGGATCCAAAAACTGGAAAAAAAAAAGTTGTTACCACCGAAATGCCCCTGGTCTCTTTAATAATGATTTTGGTTGAGTGAGATACCAATCTTGAATCCAATCCAACATTCAGTGCATATGCAACATCAAATTAAATGAATAACACTGCCATGGTTGCAAACACATACAGTTGCAATTTCAATTCTCACTTTACCATCCAGAAGTGGCCCTACCAAGAAAGATACAGAGAACCAATCTTCAATGTCTCTTAATATTTTCTTAGAATACATCCATCATCATCACCATGCCATATGCTAGTTTCCAACAAAAAAAAAATTATCAACACCGAAAATAAGTTTTAAAGTGATTTAAAAATAATTTATTAAACGAATAGAAAAAAGACCTTCATCCACTACATTTAATCTTCATCTCTTTTTGAACCAAATGCTCTATTCTCCAATGATTTCGTTGCATTTCCATCTTTTCAGCGTCTCTTTTTCTTTGCTCCTTGTCTACGACCTAAAAAATCTATTTTTTTTTTATAAAAATGAGAAACCAAATATTTTGTCAATACATGGTATTACGATTAACATGAAAAATATAAATACAAAAATCAACCTCATCTTCTGCACGGAAACATAATGTGAGTTATGTGGATTTGTTTTTCATGGTGATTTCAGCTAAATAAACATTTGACCGGTCAAATTTTTTTAGTCCAAAAATCTTAAAATCAATTTTTTTTTAACTATAAAAACAATATGCAGGGGCAGTTTGGTCCAAAACCGTTAGAATCAAAAACTTCTAACTATAAAAAACAGTATGCATGGACTGTTTATAGAACTGATTACCCAAGAAACTTTGCATTTTATTTTTTTAAAACTTTGCATTCAGACCTATTTACAGAATCCAATGGCACGAATGACTAAACTGACATATTTGAGTGCAGGAGCTGTATAGTTGTTGGTCACGTCTGTTTGTCAAAAACAAAAACACAGATTGATAATTTTTTTTAATGGAGGGAAAAAAAATGAAATATTATAGATAAGCACCAAAATTCATTAATATGTGGTTGACATACCTTTCATGTGGCTTAAACCCACAGATATATGTCTATGTTGTAGATTATTTGTTGTCTTGTTATGATTAATTTCCTAAAAGTCATTATTTGGAATATTTGGATTTGCATTCCATTCTAACACAATGTGATAGAGATAAGTTGTTTGATCATAATGTGCAACAACATGAGTGGTCTGCAATAAATTCAAAATAAATTAAAGTAAAAAAAGATTGAATCCATGAAACTAAAATGAATTTATATGTCATCCACAAACAACATAATTTTCATTCAATCACACATACCATCATGAGGACTTGAGAAGACATAGTTGAACTTTTGCGTGATTGGTTTTCCCATTTCACCAACCCATTCTCTTTCATCCTCCCCATCAGAGTCAGACTACTTACATCTTATAACTCACTATCTTCTATCAATAAAAAAGTAAGAAAAATTAAATTCTTAAATTTAATTTCCAAATTTTTGTCTATGTCTAAATAAAAATCGAGATTAAAAATAGCCTTACAAATCTTGTGATACCTACATAACTGGGAAGACGTGAAACCTAAAATGAAATGATGTTTTTTAGTTCAACCCGCATCAATAAAATAGCCATTAAGCCAATGTCGTATTCACATTTTAAATTTCATGGAGAACTATTTCCTCACAATATAACTCTTGTCTCATTAATTACGAAAGATTATTAGGATTTAAGATCATTAAGCCTACTCTTTTCAACCAAAATAAAATATTCCAAATGCACTTGATAAAAGAAACATAAGACAAAAAAATAGAATTTTTAAATTCATACAAATGCATACCTGCTGTATTGCTTCTTCAGTGGCAGTAACACATAACATTCTTTTCATAACCAAATAAACATATTGATACTATAAACAGCTTAAATTTAGCAAAGTCTTCCAATTATTAGACAAATAATGGAGTTTTTTACCAAGATATTGTAAATTAAAAAAAATATTTACCAGAGTATAGTAGTTTTGAAATTATTTACAGAAAGATTGTAAAAAGGATTTAACACGTGAAACATGGGCCACATGTTCCATTCAAATTTGTTTTCTAAAACATTTGTCGAAGCTATAATAAAGAAATAAGTAATCAAGATGAAGATGAAGAAGCATAATTTAAGAAATACATGCAGGACCAGAAAGCAAGATCCTAGGATTGACAATTGGTAGTTCAGAAACATATATAAGTTGGTCTTTATGCTTCAAATGTATATAAGAAGCTGCAATAAGAACTATTTTTGTGTTGTCCCTACAAAAAAAATGGAAAAGACATAAAATTGTCAGATACATAAGAAAAACATGGTCAGATCCTTTAATAGCATGAGAAACAGTCATTGAGTATAAAACCTTAAATAATAAGGGAAGTCATTAACAGAAACCTCAACTTCAATCCGAATCCATCTTTGATATAATACGTTATTAGCAAAATTAAAAGAAGGTGATGAGATTTCTAGAATCCTTGCTAAACTGCTGCAAAATAAATGTAAAAAACTTTCAGTTCCATTAATGGAGTCAATAGTTTTAACAACACAATCTGATTAAAACTCCAATGTAACATCAAGAGGTAGTTAGTGATCTTATGATCCTTTGTTTGTTCGAACATATAAGTGCCTAAATACATGTAAATTCATTACTGGAGATGGTTGTGGTTATTTTAAATTGAAAAGAAACCTAATATGAAATTACAGAAATAGCCCTATCTTATCACACAAACCTTTGGTGCCTCAAGAACACGACCCTCAACTTAAGCAAGTTGTTTCTCAATACTAATTCCACAGGAAGCAGGTAAAGGGGTCATCACCGTAATTATAGTTTTTCATAGCTTGATAAGTTAAACAAAGGACAATTATATGTGAATCGTTGTAGTTCTCAGGTACCATGGTTCAAGCATTTCAGCGACCAGTTAGGGTGCATAGTCAAACTACCCTTCAAATTTGAGTACAACATCAGGGGTGCTGCAGCGTATATGGTGGTGGGCGGTGGTAGTGAAAGCCTCCTCGGTTCCAACTGCCAACCAATTGAAATTAGGGCAAATAGTATAGATTAAAAAAAATCATATGTTTAACATTGTGCACATAAGATAACAGGTTAATGAAGTACTCTCTCAGGCTCATACTTGTCTAAGAATCCTTTTGTGGAGAAATGTCTCAGGTTGATGCTGTAGGCCTTAATCACTGCATGTAATCCTCAAATGTCTGAAAGAATGAATAATAAGTTTACAAAGCTTTGGAAATGTTATCAAACAGTGGCTGCACTTTGTGATTATAAAAAAAAGTAAAAAAACGAAGAAGAGGTCACTTGTCGTCGTATTCCATCATGACCTGATATTATCGAACCATCGGATCAAAATCAGAGTGTAATCGAGCTGGGTCTCGTTTGAAATCAGAAGCTGATGGTGGAAGGAGAAGGTGCAGGGACGTGGTAGAAGGAGAGCAAGAAGAATGATGAAAACCTTGGTGTACATAACGGACTTCTTTGACTCCTTTGGTTCTTCAAAGTCATCTATGGAGTTTGTGGTTGTGGCTGATGGCGGTGATGTTGAACACGACTCTTAGTGCGGGAAACAATAAGACTTTTATTAAGACACTTAAGAAGAACTTTACACTTTGAGAGACTACTAGACACTTTTCTTTCTTTGAGGCTTTCTTTTGGATACTTAGATGTTGGATTATTTGGAGCAAATGAGCTCCACACCTATTTATAGGTGTTTCCACCTCCTTATAGGAAGTTTCTAGATCTACATACATTCATGGCTATTCTAGAATTATCTACCATATTCTATATCTGTTACAAGCTTTTATATGTTTCTAGAATGTTCTATAATGTCCTAGATAAGTATAGACATTCTTGTGTCTTCCATAGTGTTCTAGAATGTTCCATAGCCTTCCAGGGTCTTCCATCTCGTTCTAGAGTATTCTAGAATCTTCCGGCATCTTCAACACTTCCCCATAGTATTCCATAATGTTCTAGAATCTTCTAGAGCATTCTAGAACAAGCTAAAGTCTTCTAAATAATATTCGTTTTATTGGGCTAGTGATGATCTTTAACACTCCCCCTCAACACTAGCCCTCATTCTTCGTACCATGTTAAGCTGACAACGAAAACCTTCACATTTTCCAGTACTCAGCCCTTTGGTGAACAAGTCTGCTATTTGGTCATCGGTCTTGATCTGCCGCATCTCAATTTCTTCCATCAAGACTTTCTCTCTGATAAAGTGATAATGCACTTCCACATGCTTTGTTCTAGCATGAAATATTGGATTTTCTGCCAGCCGAATTGCAGATTGGTTGTCACAGTGAAGTGGTACTGCATAGTCAACTTTTTGATGTAAGTCCTCCATTAGGAGTACCAACCATGTACTTTCTTGAGCTGCTACGGCCGCTGCTTTGTACTCCGCTTCTGTGGTTGACAATGATACTGTTGGTTGTCTTTTACTACACCATGATATTGGTCCCGACCCAAGCTTGAACACATACCCAGTGGTTGATCTTCGGGTATCATGGTCTCCTGCATAGTCAGCATCACAATATCCAACCAACTTACAGTCTTCTCCTCTTTTATACAAGAGACCATAGTCAATTGTACCTTTGACATATCTCAAGATCCGTCGGGCAGCATCCAAATGAGGTTTCTTCAGACTTTGCATGTATCGACTCATAACTCCAACTGCATAAGCAATGTCAGGCCGAGATAAAGTTAGGTAGATAAGACTACCTACTAGTTGTCGATACATCGTTCCATCGTCCAACTCTTTTCCTTCATGAGCACATATCTTGGCATTTGGGTCTATTGGTGTTGATATTGGCTTACACTCCAACATGCCAAACTTTTGAAGTATATCTCTTGTATACTTTTGTTGGCAGAGGAACAACCCTTCCTTCGTACGATCAACTTCTAACCCCAAGAAGTGTTTAAGCTCCCCCAGCTCTTTCATTTGGAATCGCACCGATAGATTTTCTCTTGTTTGATGGATTTCTCTTTCGTCATCCCCGGTGATGATCAAGTCATCCACATAAACCAACACAATTGCCAACTTCCCTTCTTTTTCTTTGACGAACAGGCTTGAGTCTGCATGTGCAACTGAATAACCACTTCGGGTAAGAAATTCAGCAATCTTACCATACCAGGCTCTTGGTGCCTGCTTCAATCCGTAAAGAGCTTTTTTCAACTTGCACACATGATTGGGATTAACTTCATCCTCAAATCCCTTTGGTTGGTTCATGTAGATCTCTCGGTCTAATTCTCCATGCAAGAAAGCATTCTTCACATCCATCTGCCATAATTTCCAGTCTTTACTAGCTGCAAGAGCTAACAACACCCGTACAGTAGTTATCTTCGCCACTGGACTAAATGTTTCATCATAGTCCAATCCATATTGTTGTGAGAACCCTCGAGCCACCAGACGAGCCTTGTATCTCTCAATTGATCCATCTGGGCGACGCTTTATTTTATAAACCCACTTGCAGGAAATGGGTTTTAAATCTCTTGGTCTTGGTACTAGTTCCCAAGTTTGATTCTGCTCTAAGGCTGTAACTTCTTCTTCCATCTCCTTCTGCCAAGCTTTATTCTTAATTGCTTCTTCATATGTCTCCGGCTCTTTAACACCGTCTTCTAAAATGGCCGCATTAGCATACTTGGGATTAAAGCTTTCGGATTCTTTCCGTCCTTCGAAGTTGTGGAGGCGGCAGCTCCCTTTCACCGGCATCACTTGTTTGAGTTACTTCTTGCTCAATGACATCAGTGTCGCTCGTATCTTCAGGTGTTTTCAACACTTGACCAAATATGTGCAGTTTGCTCCCCCATCTTTTGTTTTAAAACTTCTTCAATATTTTCCGAGTCTGGTAGTACTTTCTTCTCTGAGGACCACCATGAAGATGCTTCATCGAACACTACATCTCTTGAAGTGTAGCATCTTCCACTTGTTGGATCACAACATCTCCACCCTTTTCTTTGATTGTCGTATCCAACAAATATACACCTGACTGCTTTCTTGTCAAACTTGCTACGTAAATGACTAGGTACAAATACGTAGCAGATGCAACCAAATACTCGGAAGTAGCTAACAGTAGGTTTCATGTTCCATAGTGTCTCAAATGGTGAGATGAAACCTAACCTTGGTTGGGGAAGTTTATTGATCACATGGGTAGCAATTTGCATTGCTTCAGCCCAAAATCTTCCTGGGACATTCTTCGCGTGTAGCATGCTTCGACAAATTTCTGCAAGATGTCGATTCTTTCTCTCAGCTACACCATTTTGTTGAGGTGTGTTGGCACATGTGAATTGATGACGTATACCACATTCTTTTAGATAGCGATTGAATTCTTCTGAGGTGTATTCTCCTCCATCGTCTGAGCGTAGACACTGAATCTTCTTTCTCACTTCTCCTTCGACCGTTGTCTTGAATTCTAGAAACTTTGAGAATGTTTCAGATTTTTCTTTCATGAAGAAAACCCACACATATCTCGAATAATCATCAATGAACGTCACCATGTACCGCATCCCGCTAACTGATGTCTGCTTGACTGGACCGAACACATCTGAGTGAATTAACTCTAGTGGCTTCTTTGCTCTAAAATTTGACTCCTTGTATGGTAATTGATGAGCTTTACCATACTGACATCCAGCACAAACAACATCTGTTTTAACTTCAAGTTGAGGTAAGCCATTGAGCATGGATTTCTCCATTATTACCTTCAACTTGTGATAACCAGCATGTCCCAGCCGTGCATGCCATAGATTTGCTGTCTCATTCTTACGAGTCTTATCTACATAGGCAGACTCTGCGGAGAGCACATAAACGGACTCCACTCTTCGTCCTTCCATTGTTGGTGTTTCTGATATTTTAAGATCTCGATAGACCTTCACATCTTGTGGGCCAAACAAGACGTAGTTACCTGACGATGTTAGTTGCGATACCGACAACAAGTTCTTCTTCATACCTGGTGTCACACCCCCGAACCAGACGGCGGAAACGTCCGAGGGCTATTGTGACTCATTGAATACCATCACAATGCATATACATGAAACATAACATAAAACATCACCAACATTTGGAATAATACAACCGATAGTGTTTACATTCGTCACATTGTTCAAACGTTACATTCTCAAAATAACTGTTCAACACCACTTAAACCACAGCAAACATCATAGAGTATAAATCATCCGTCACCTTATCTGTTACCTGAGAATACAAGTATTTTGAAAACGTCAACATACGAAATGTTGGTGAGTTCATAAGTAGTGTTTGAAATCCAATGTAATGTTTGAAACCCATCAGAAAATCCGATATTTTCTAAAAATAGAATAGTGTAAAAATATGTGTTGATCCATGAGTATGCATGTTTGAATTCTATAGATGTAGGCGTAAGAGTTGTAAAAATTCGACCGGAAATTCATAATTTGTAATTGTTGAAAACCCTAGGAAAACCCGACGTTTTCCTATCACTTTGTATTACTTAGTTTGTATACCGTTGTTTCGTTTCGTTAGAGGGAATCGTTGAGCTCCGGAGGCATTGAGAATACAATGGGTGGTGAAGCGTTGTGACGTACGTTAATGAAAACGTCCAATCGACAACCTTACAAGCGATCCCTTAGGCGCCACTCGTAATTCTTCACACAACTCGATCCTCCCGGACTTGTGTAGTCCCACGACCGGAGGGAAGGAGAGAAGGTGCGAAACCCTCGGTATTTCCCCGCGTCGTTCAAGACTAATGCAATTGCGAAGGGCCCGAAGCCCAACCCGCAATCGTGAGTTACCGACTTTACTAGCAGCACTGAGGACCCTTGGGGACCAGCAGCACGTTTGCCATTGAAAGTCCTGTTACGTTATGTCGGATCGGTAAAACCCAACACTTCGTAAGAGAGAGAGATCTTCGGGCCTTAAGATCAGGTCATTGGGCTAGCTAGGCTCAACGAACAAGATTTTACACTTTTGGGGCCCAAAGATGGTGCATAGACGTCTGCGCACACTCGCATGTATAGTGAATTCTCCATCGTTATTAGTTATGAATCGTAATGTCGTAACGTCGTCGTGTTAGTGGTTTTGGATTTTTATTGGTTCGAGACCGAACCAATTTGTTTAACAACGACTTTTGGTATTGTAATGTATTGTATTTCGTCGACAAGCGTGGTACCGTCAATTGGTCAAATTGCATGTATTAACTAGCCTTGAGGATTTTCTGTTTTCAGCCCCTTCTTAATTGTAGAATTTACCCTTTTCACCCCTTTATTTAAAAACTTTCCGGTTTGGTCCTTAAATCAATTTTCTTGACATTTTTATACCAAAAATTATTGAAATAAGTATTTTCCAGCATATTTATCATAGAAAACAATTTAAGTCCTTGAAATTGCAGTTTTCTCGGTTATAACCCCTCTTTTTCGCAATTTTTACATTTTTGACCCAATTTGGAAAATTTTTACAACTTTGGTCCTTTTTAAATTTGAAAAGCATTTTAAACCTCT